AACAGTTGTGTTTCTGGGTACCAATTATGAACATCCGAAAATCAAAATAAAAAAGGCAACACCCACTCACAATTTCCATTGCTCAAAATAAAATTAACTACTTAGGTACACAATTAATAACACATGTACAGGATTGGTATACTGAAAACCATACAATTCTGTACAAAGAAATCAAAGATGACCTCCATCAATTGAGAGACATGACTTGTTGATGGAATGGAAGACTCAAAATAATAAAGATATCGATTCTCCCAAGTTGATCTGCAGCCTTAATGAAATTCCTATCAAAATTCCAGCAACATCTTTTAGATATAGACAAGCTTTGTTAAAACATTTATATGCTAAGACAAAAATTCTAGAATAGCTAAAACGATCTTGACAAAGAAGAAAAAATTTGGAAGAATCATTCTACTTCATGCTAAGTCCTACTACAGAGGTCTGTCCGGAAAAAGTCCAACGGTTTGCGCGACATCGATGTAACCCGGCAGCCAAGGACAGCAGACTGGAATAGGCGTGTGTGAATAATGACCACTTCACTATACAAGTCAGTGGGGGCAGTAGATGCCATTGAGTGAGCATGTGTGCTGTGTGGCCGTCACATTCAAAATGACTGAGCGAGTAGAGCAACGAATCTGCACCCAATTTTGCATTAAGCTTGAACATTCCTATGCGGAAACTGTTTGGATGACGCAGAGGCCGCAACTGTGGGCAACGGGTGACTGGCAGCTTCATCGAGACAATGCGCCTGCTCACGCATCCCGTCTCCTGCAGAGTTTTTTGGCAAAACATCCAATCCCTCAGGGGACTCAGCCCCCTACAGCCCAGATTGGGCACCCTGTGACTTCTGGCTTTTCCCCAAAAAACTCAAATCACCTTTGAAAGGGACAAAATTTCAGACTGTCCATGAGATAAAGCGAACCGTGACAGGGCAGCTGATGGCGACAGGGAGAACTGCGTGAGGTCCCACGGTGCCTGCTTGGAAGGGGACTGAGGCGTCATTGTCCCAGGTACAATGTTCCTTGTCCCTTCTTCAATCAATGCCTCTATTTTTCACAGCACATGGCTGGATACCTTCTGGACAGACCCCGTGTAACGGGAGTAGTCAAGGCCACGTGATATGGATGCGGAAGAAACATACAGACGGCCCTGACTTCCAGCGGTTCAACTTGTGATTTTTTGCCTTTATCATGATGGGAAAGCAGGATGCATTCAATCAAAACTGTATTTTGAAATTTGATCTTTCTGCAGGCTAGTGACATCTGGTGCCATACTCCCTCGTGATGCTGCGCAGTGTAGCAAGCCACAGGTCCCAGTCAGTGACGAGACCCCCAGGGTACTTATAGTGAACTGTGTTGCTAGCAATTTCTCTTCTTGTGTTCTGAGCGCGTTTAAGGTAGGCTGGGCTAAGCTATTACGTTCAGTAGGCTAGGTGAATTGAAATGCATTTTGAACTTACAATGGGTTTATCAGGACATAACCCCCTCATAACTCAAGGAAAGCCTGTATGGATATATGGAACAGAATAGAGAATCCAGAAATAAACCCATCCAAGAGAAGCCACTGATTTTTGACATAGATGCAAAAGTAACCAAATGGAGGAAAAATAACCTTTTCAATGAATGGTGCTGGGGCAACTGAACATCCTTAAGTTAAAAAAAGCAAACATTAACTTAAATCTCATACCTTATATAAAAATTAACTTAAAGTAGAACATGGGCTTAAAATGTAAAATATAAAACTATAAAACATTTTTTGAAAAAAACAGGAAAAATGTTTTGGATCTACAGCTAGGCAGAGTTCTCCGATTTGATACCAAAAGCACAATCCACAGAAGAAAAACTGATAAACTGAACCTCATCAAAACTGAAAATATTTGCTCTGCAAAATACCCTGTTTAAAAGGATGAAAGACAACCTACAGATGGGAAAAATACCTACAAATCACATACCTCACAAAGGACATATTTTTAGAATATATAAAGAACTGTCAAAACTCCACAGAGAAAATATCAATCCAATTAAAAAATGTGCAAAAGATATCAACAGGCATTTTGCCAAAAAGGATATATGGACAGCAAATAAGCACATGACAATAGGGTCAAAATCAACCATCTGGAAAATGCAAATTTGACTACAATGAGATATTACTACACAGCTATCAAAATAGGTAAAAAGGAAAAGGTGACAACACCAAATGCTGGTGAAGATGTGGAGAAACTCATACATTTTTCTCTTGGAAATGTAAAAGGGCACAGATCCTTTGGAAAACAGTTTGGCGGTTTACTTTAATACTAAATGTGCTGTTACCATACGACCCACCAATTGTATACTTGGGCGCTTATCCCAAAGAAATAAAAACTTACGCTCACACAATATGCTGTCAACGAATGTGTATGGCAGCCTCATTTGTAACAGGCAAAATTGGAAACAGCCCAGATGTTTTTCAATGGGTAAATGGTCAAACGAACTATGATACATCCATAGCATGGAATGCGTGAACCCACATATGTATTGAAATTATATAAAACTACCCACACATACCCTATGTGCACCAAATGTAACACATGCAAAAAAACCACCTGTAACAACAAAGTCAGGAAACTACCATATTTTTCATTATTTAGCAAAGGGAATTTGCAAAGATTTTGTGATATAGCCCACAAGAATGTCAAGGATCTACAAATAGTGATGACTTTACTCAACAAGAAAATGTAGGAATCTTCTAGAAAACCAAAGCTAATCTCTTATAATGGTAAAAAAAAACCAACTGTATTCTAATTAATTTTTAATACTCATCTTTCTAAAATGTATTTAAAATTGCCCTGCTTTTGCAAGGGAAGGATAGAGAACATCATTTAAGCTTTACCTAAAGAAAACACAATATAGTTATGACCACCCACTGTTAATACTGTGCGATCATACAACGGCCTTCAGGGAACCTCTGGTATGAAAGCCATTTGACCCCGCCCCCAGCTCCCCACTTGCTGACGCTGTCTAATCCTCCTGTTAGTCTTGCGAGAAGCGCCTAGAAACAGAAGCATGGTAAATCCTAGAGGGACCTTTGGGATCTACTAGCCCCAAACCTTTGTATTTCCCGAATGGTAAAACCAAGGTCCAGACAGGAGGCAGCTCTCCGTCAGTATCACATAGCAAGTTGAACGGTAGAGACAGGACTAGAACCTGGGTCTTCGTGTGGTTCTCAAGTGTGCTTGCCTCTCAGCAGATCACCCTTTGTGATTTGCTGCTTTCAACGACTATGGTGGGGAAAGAACAAACAAACAATGGGAAATAAGGTTTTCAGAAATGTGCATTAAACAAGGCTTTTGATTTAAGTTAGTGGGTCCTGGGTTATGATCTGTCATGGAAAGTAAGTCTTTGTGACAGGTATTCTGGCCTAGCCACATAATTCTGGCCACACTGTGGGTAGGGCTGAGCAACGTACTGTTGTAGACAAGGGGGTTTTGTGTACATTCCTCCACTGGGTGTTCTCACAGCTCTTCCTGCTCAGGGTGACATGAATAATCGGCTACCTTTTCCAAGTAAATGGAGACGTATGGGCCCGTATGGGTCCACGCTCTAATGGCCAATGAGAGGCACACAGAGCAGAGGTCTAGTTCTTTGGCTAACCTCCTACCAACCAATCTTTCCCTTTTCCATTTTAAGAAGTTCCAAAAATGAAAAGGAAGAAATCAGAAATTGACAATGAGGTCCTTTCTTCTGCACTGAGAATGTGTCAGTTCAGCCATGGGAACCTATAAACCCCAATTGTCACAGAGAATCAAGAGAAACCACAGGTCCTCAAACGGCCTCAGTGTAATGGTCACTATGTTCTAGTCAAGTAGCATTCAGGGACACACAAGACATTTGCCAAGTATTTATTCCTGGTTTTGCTAAAGCATATGCCTTCTCAGTTGAGATTACCTTCTGCTATAAATCTGTCTACACCAGCTCTAAACAATGTCAGAGAGGTAATTTACCTTTTCAAACAAAATGCCATTTCGCATTACGTCAATGAGAGTCTATAGCTGGTATTTCCAAGGCTGTCTTTTGCAGAAAATCATAGAAAAGTAATCGTGTCTTTAAGGGAGAAATGCTATTTATGTAAAACATGTGAACACAGATTAAGAAATAAACAGCAAGTTGCCGAAGTTTTCAGAATGACAGAGCATATCCCGTGGAATCTCTAGCGTCTTGCATTTCAAATGCCTGACAGTCTGATGTTCATCTAAACCCTCTGACCCTGGAACAACTTAAATTTTTGCACTGAACTATGTGATTACTATCTTTCGGCCTATAAACCCTGTCATTTGAAGACATACACTTTATCAAATATTCTCAAACACTCAAGTCTCTCAATGAGACGCTTCCCACTGTTCTCTCCTGATTACAATATGGCCCCAAATGTTATGAACACTCCATTCGATTGTTCTAATTCAAAATTAAAATCTTCCATACATTTTCTTAGATAAGTATTATCTAAGAAAATAAGCATTATCTAAGAAAAACAGTGTGTATTCTCTGTTTTCCTACTTTAAACATTATCTCAGAACAGCTGGGAAAACGGTGGACTACAATCTAAAAAGCCTGGGTTTCGATCTTAGCCTCCATTTACTATAACCAGCTTGGCTGCTGCCCTGACATTTATCACACAATGTGACATTCAGCAAATTCATCTTTTTTAGTTCTACTAAGGCTGCAGTAAAAAAATGCAACTAACACTAGCTGCTCTACCCTAGCACAGGATAGCTGGAACACGCAAATCAGACAATACATTGAAAAGAGCTTGGAAAATTCTGTCATTACTAGGAGATATAATTATGATTATTATTATTACTATCTAAACAGAGAAAACTGAAAGTTACACTTTAAAAAACGCAAACCAGCATAACTCTTAGACATGTAGCAACCAATGATAGATAAATCCTTAATGTTGGCTTCTTCTGAACAAGTACGAGTAAGAAGTCATTAACTTCCTTTATCCTGAATAAATAATTTTCATACCTGGCATAACAAAACACTTCCACATGTTGAATGGTTCTGTCCCTCTTGCCAAGAGCAATGGCTTCTTCATCTTCAAGGACCTGTTCATGCCATGCTGGGCCATCATTCACAATGTCGCTATCTTCCTGAACAAAACACAGATGAGAAATTGTAATGAATTGAGCAATCGGAACATGTACTTTTTGGAGGAAATTTGTACCTTTATAAATTCACGCGTGTCCTTTCATGCCATCAAAACTCAGAGACGGGTATCACTCGGAGTCCCTGACGCAAGCCCAGCAGCTAGTGTGCCAATTTCAAAGGAAGGAGAGGAAAACAGTGATTCAAATCTATCCTATCAAAAGCTAGGTCTGGTTTACAAATTTCTATCAAAATATTTGATGTTTTGATGCAGTCATTTGGACATGGCTGTTTTCACACTGCTTAAAAACTGTGACAAATAATGCTCCATCTGCTGAGAATCAAGCTAGTGCCCTATTTATTATTTGTTAATAATAAAGTTTGTACATTTTGTTGTCAAAACAGCATGTTCAAAATTAGGTCATTCTACTTACTCTTCGATCTTTGATGGCTGATCGCTAGCCATGTCGCATTTTGAATATATGTAAAAAGTGTTTTTGAAAAGTACTCACCCCGACATAACTCGGACATTAGTAATCAACAACAATTATCGACCCCTTAATATTTTATATTCAAAAAGAAAATAAAAACAAGAAAGTATAAAGGATGCAAACTAACTGAAAAGGATTGAAAGTGATCCTTTAATATTTTCAATAACTTCTACTTATACAATATTTTAGGGAGAAAATTATGATACAGCAAGGTCTAAATACAGGAGAATTTTGAAGATGCTAACATGTACCTTTTTCAAATGTCAAGGATCAATTTGTAATCTGTTTAATCTATTTGGCACCCCTCTCTCATTCCAAAAAAGGTTAAAAATACATGATATATACCCAGAGAACGCGTAGCAAAGTATAACTACCATATCCTTTAAGTAAATTCACCTCATAAAATTTCTAAACTTACAGATTTGATAAAGTAAAGCAATTGTTATTTTTAAAAGTTTCATTGTCTCACGGTGTGGTGGTTCCCAGACCGGGGGGGCGGGGAGCGGGGAGATAGTAAAGGATGAGGGGGTCAAATGTATGGTCAGGGAAGATGATCTGACTTTGAGTGACAGGTACAAAATACAATATACTCATGATGTATCAGAGAAATGTGCACTGGAAACCTATATGATCTTATTAAGCAATGTTGCCCCAATACATTTAATTTAAAGAGCTTCATTGTCCTGAATTCAATATTTTTAAAAATATTTTCTTTTTAGAGAGGGGGAAGGGAGAGAGAAAGAGAGGGAGAGAAACATCCATGTGCGGTTGCCTCTCGCGCGCCCCCTGCTGGGGACCTGGCCCGCAGCCCAGGCATGGGCCCTGGCTGGGAATCGAACCACCGGCCCTTTGGTCCACAGGCTGGTGCTCAGTCCACTGAGCCACACCAGCCAGGGCTTGACTTTAACATTTTAAACTGAAGAAAAGCAGTGGCAGACAGCTCTTACAATTAAGTGGAATTGTTAGGTCACATTAAACACCTGCACATAAGTACAAGAGGAGATAAAGTCCAGGAACTTGGACCATGTAGACACGGGGTTACCAGCCTGGAAATAGAACTGCAGAGCAACGACAGAGAGTGAAGGGAAAGAGGATCCCGTGACTGGGTCAAGAGATGCTGAAGCAAATGGAGTGTTAAAACAGGAAAAATGTCTACAAAAATATTTTAACAAAGCTAACCCATTACCCATGTTTGTTTAAATGCCTTCACTCACCAAAACTTTCCCATGCAGCCAATGGGAGTATTTTGGTGCTGTTCTGGGAATCTAGATTAAATTTTCTAATGGAAGTACGGAAGTGCTAAATACGCCTCATCTCAGGCGACCCTCACGGAGACTTCCCAAGGATAAGGTTCACCAAGGGGCTGCTGATAAACATAAATATATGAGCACTTAAGGCACATAGGTAAAACATTTCAATGTCTACTTTTAACACTTCCTTGATTTATACATAGTTTGAATCACATGCAATGCTACTTTACAAATATTGGTTATTTCTCCACACTGTCAGTTTCAAGTAACAATATTATTCAAATTTAATCCTCACTGAATCTTCAACATCAATGTCTTCATCATCACTAGAAAAGCACTTTTTGAGTCATGGACACCATAAAATTAATCAGCCCAACTACAATGCTTAGTGTGCTGCTTAGCAAATGGAAGTGCTTAATAAATCTTAGCTATATTATTCTAGCTGACTGAATACAATTTTCTGGAGTATGGCATCCTCCTTTCTAAACCGCCTAAATTCTTTTGAGATATACCAGCTTCTGATTCCATCATTATATGGTATGATGCTTTCAGTAGGAATTTCATTTCAAGCCACATATACAATTTATCTCAAATTAGGAGAGTTTTTCTTTTTTAAATCCATCTCATAAAAATCGGTCAACTCTATAACGTAAGCAAACCCCATTAATATGCTTTTAAATAAGAACTGAAAAATCTTCTTTACAATGATACACAACAGTTACATCAGTGAGACCCTACCCTTGGGGGAAAATTACTAAATTTATATTAAATTTTTTCCTTGCTTTTTGTTTTTACTGATTCCGTCAGATGTCCTCTATAATTATATAAAGCCACGAATGACTGAGATCATTTCAAATGGATGTATCTTCCCCAAATATTATTTTTCCTCCAAAATGTACTAACTGAAAGAGCAACTAGTATAGGTGACATTTTATAAGAACTGAAGTGGTTTTTATGAAAAACTATTTTGGGGAAAAAAACCTGCCTTATATTTGGGCATGGAGAATAATTACAAAATGATATCAAGTATATGTGCTTTATATTGAAAAAGTGCTACTTTATTTTGAAGGCATTGGAAAAATCTCACCTGAAATGGTGACTGCCTAATTTTTAAGAAAATAAGAATTAAGTATTAATCCTATATTCCAGACGAAGCCTAGGATTTTCTTCAATCACATGATATATATATAAAACTGAGTAGATTAAAAAATTAGGTAAGAACTTTACCTGGTATTCCTTTATCCAGGACAACAGACCTGAAAAGCTAAAACTGGCCCAGTTTCCTCCATAGTAGCTTCTTCTGTAACAATAAAAAATAAGAGTAAAGAAAAGGGTATAAAAATCTAGCCACCAATCTTTATGAACTAACCACCCTTGACCCTTCAACTCATTCCATTTTCAGGATTGCTACCTCACAGCTCAAAAACACACAGAATCGGGATGTTGAGATTAGAGGAAATAGGAGGCTGAAATAAAGAGAAGTGGAGCTTTCAGATTCCCAAAGGGGATTTTTCATTGTCTAAGGAGTTAAAAATGTCTTTGGCCCCTTAGAGATTTCTTCACTGATCATGTGGCTGTTAGCATCTCGATACGGGTATTGAGCAGATAAACATGAACACATCTGACTGCTGGGTTAACAAAAATAGCTGGGGGGAAAAAACCTGGTGGATCTTCAAGAAAGCCACTAGAGAAACTGCTCATTTTTCCATAAACAATGAAATGTCTACTGCCACCATCACCACTGAACCATCTCCCACACGCAAAAAAATGTGTGTGGGGATGTATACACAGTGCGTGTACAAACACACACACACACACACACTCTTTCATAACAGGCTACTCAATCCCACTCTGATTCTGGGGTGGGCGGATTCTTGGTTTAGCATTGTTTTCATTTTCCCTCCTTTCTATTTAATGAAACAAAAATCCATAAAAGCTCTTTTAAAAATAAAACTAAAACCTTTAATATGGTATTCAAAATTACTCGGCCATAATGCTACTGGATATCCTCTCAAAATTCCGATATACTCCTCTCCTCAATCAACTGTTGACAAGGACCTGAAGAACAGTCAGCTTTTATGTTATTGTTTTCTCTATGTCTAATATCCTAGTGTTTTTTTTCAAGATTATATAGGCTTCAAATGTACATTTCTATGATACATGATACATGATCTTCATATTGCATTGTATGCCTACCTCCCAAAGTCAAATCATCTTCTGTCACCATATATTTTAATCCATTTACCCTTTACCAAATAAATGCTGGGTCATATGGTAACTATTCTTAATTTTTTGAGCAACCTCCATACTGTTTTTTCCATAGTGGCTGCACCAGTTAACATTCTCACCAGCAGTGAATGAGGGTCCCTTTTTCTCCATACCCTCTCCAACACTTGCTATTACCTGTCTTGTTGATAGTAGCCATTCTAATAAGTGTGAAGTGGCATGTCATTGTAGTTTTGATTTGCATTGCCCTAGCATTTCATGAAGTTGAGCATCTTATCAAGTATCTGTTGGCCATTTGTATGCCTTCTTGGGAGGAGTGTCTGTGCAGGTCCTCTGCCCATTTTTCAATTGGATTGTCTGTTTAGTGTTGAGTTTTTGCAAGTTCTTTACAAATTTTGAATATTAAACGGTTGTTGGACCTGCTATTTGCAAATATCTTTTAACACTCAGTTGTCTGCCCTTTGTTTTCTGGCAGTCTCTTTTGCTGCATGAGACAGCACTAGAATTTGATGGATTTGGAACCTCACTGCCCACCACATTCCCCTGCAGGATTGGACCCCTGAGATGGAGGCGACCAGAATACAGAGGAGACACCCACCTTCCCAGGGAACACAGGCTATTTTCCACCACCCAGCTGAGATCTGAAAAGCTAGAGCAGGGTAAGAGAGCTAAATACTTTGCGATTCAGCACCACCTACTTTAAAACAACACAGAAAATTCTTATCAATCTAATAGAGAAGTGCCACTCATACACAGATGCCTGACAGAGAAGGAATCCAGCAAATCAATAACAAAATTAACAAGGCAGCTCAGAAATAAAGTCTCCAGAAAATAAACTTAAAGACATGAAAATATGTGATTTAAATGACAGAGAATTCAAGATTTTAGTTCTAAAAAAACTCAATGAGATACGTGAAGGCACAGATAGGCAGTTCAATGAAGACAGAAATAAAATCAACAGACAAAAAGAACAACAAAGAGATTGAAACCTTAAAAAAGAACCAAATAGAAATTTTGGACATGAAGAACTCAGTAATAGAGATAAAGAATGAACTAGCTAGCATAGGAAATTGAGCTGACCAGTTGGAGGAAAGAATTAGTGCTATCAAAGATAGAAATCTAGAAAAGATGCAGAGTAAAGCTAAGAAAGACTTGAACGTAAAAAAAGTGAAAGAGCTCTTTGAGAAGTATCTGACTCCAGCAGAAAGAGCAATAAAAGAATAACAGGCATTCCAGAAGAAGAGAGGGAGAAGGAAATGGAGGGCCAATTCAAACAAATAGTTCACGAGAACTTCCCAAACCTATAGAAAGAGCTAGATCTTCGAATCCAAGAAGCAAACAGAACACCTCGTTACCTCAATCCAGAAAGGCCTTCTCCAAGGCGCACAGTACTAAAAATGCCAAAAATTCTTGACAAAGAAGGAACTGTCAAAGCAGCCAAGGAAAAGAAGACAGTAACCTGTCAAGGAAAGCCCATTAGGTTCTCCTCAGACTTCTCAGCAGAAACTCCGCAAGCCAGAAGAGTGGAACCAAATATTCAAACTACTGAAAGAGAGAAATTAAGAGCCAAGAATAGCATATCCAGCAAAGTTATGCTTTAGATATGCAGGGGAAAAAGAAGATACTTCCAGACATATGGAACCTGAGGGAATTTATCAGCACAAGACCTCCATACAGAAAATACTCAAGGGGGTTAATCTACCTGAAACAAAAGACAAAAGGATACAAAACTCAGATCACCGAAAAACTTAGAGACTACACAGGGACAATTTGTGACCACAAAAACCTAAAACGGGAGGGAGTAAAGGTCACAGTTTGCAAAGGAGGCTGGAGATCAGATGCACTCAGAAGAAAAAGGACTACTTGTATGTATGGAACTTTGTTTTTTTATAAACCTGAAGGTAACCGCATAAAAAACTGAGACACAGAACTTAAAAAAAAAGAGGAAACAATAAAGGGGCTAAATGGTAATGAAAAAAATACAATAAAAAGAGGAAAAGTATAAAATACAACCAAACAGAACAGACAGAAACACACAGAAAGATCCAATGGAGGAGCTACAAGAAAACAAAAGATAAAATGGCTGTAGGAAACGCTCTTACATCGACAGGGACTCTAAATGCAAATAGACTGAATTCACCAATAAAGCAGCCGAGAGTAGCAGATTGGGTCAAAAAACAAAACCCACCCGTCTGCTGCCTTCAGGAGACACATCTAAGCTATAAAGACAAAATTAGACTCAAAGTGAAAGGGTGGAAAATGATTCTCCGAGCAAATCGAAGAGTCTGCTGCGAGGCTCAAGTATTTTACCAGCAATCATTGCTTTTCTCCAATAGAAAATACAAGGTTCAATTGAACACCTGTGAACGTAGGCACGCTAATATAGATCGCTACTTGACTTATAATCTGATAGTTCTCTCAGGGATAAAGCAATTTCATACACTGTCCAAATCCCTAGTGGGCTGTAGCCCTGGCCACCTTCGCTGGGTGAGGTGTCATCCCTCAAAGCGAAACGTTGCCAGTTCAACTCCCGGTCAGGTTCTGTGCCTGGACTGCGGGCCAGGAATGGGGAAGGCGGCGTGTGAGAGGCAACCGATCCATGATCCACCCTTTTCTCACATACCGACGCTTCTTTCCCTCTTTCTCCCTCCCTTCCCCTCTCTCCAAAAATAAATAAATAAAATCTTTTTTTTAGAAAAAACAAAGTTGAAAAAGAACCAAGTCCCTAGGGGGCTTTAAAATAGAGATAGAGCGTCGGCTATGCTAAGGATTCCAGGATGGACTGGGGAATCCGGAGGCCTGGAGGCTGTGATCCCTTGGTCAGAGAGAAGAATGGAAGGAGCAGTTGGGCAGCAGCCAGCAGTACGGAGAAGAGGGAGGAAGGGAAAGAGAGGGATGTTAGGTGGTCTTCCCAGAACCATTTATACCCTCTTCTCCCTCGCCTGAGAATAATGCACTTCTGCCATCCCTTCCTGTCCTCTACGTAGAAGGCTCCACAAAACCAGAAAATATCACGGGTGTGGAAAAAAATTAAAAAGCCTGGAACCACTGTCCTTACACATTCTGTTGAGATATTTAGATTCCCGTCAGCCACCGTAAGGTCATTCGTGAGAAGCTCTGACTATTGGGTGAAAGCTTCTGGATCTAACAAGTAAATTTTTTTTAAGTGGATATACCAATTCATAAGTAATAAACAGACATCTGATATCTGACACTGTGAGTAGACAAAGCTTTCTCAGACAGGACACAAAAAGGTAATAAGAACTACTGGTAGAACAGAGTCAATCAAAATGGAAAACTTCTCCACAAAATACATCATTTAAAAAAATCAACGGGCTAGCCACAAACTAGGAGAAAATATTTGTAAAACATATATGACAAAGGACTGCTTTCCAGAATATATTTTTAAAAACGCTTCCAACTTAATAAAAAGACAAATATTCAAATCTTAAAATGGGCAAAGGATTTAAACAGATTTCACAAAGGAAGACTAATGTGATTCATGACCATATGAAAGTGCTCAACATCATTAGTCATTAGGTTAAATACATAATAAAATAAGCACTAAAAATGAGCGATATAAGATAACACTACACAGCCACCAGAACAGTTCAATTTAAAAACACTGACAATACCAGGTGTTGGCTTGAATGGCCAGAATGCTCATATATTTTGGTAGGAGTGTAAAACAGTACACTTTGGAAAAATGTCAGGAAGTTTCTTACAAAACTAAACATATACCTACCCTATGACCCAGTAATTCCATTCCTAGGTGTTTACACACAAGGAAAACATAGCATTTTTGTTCATTAATAGTTACAAAGTGGTACCAATTCAAGTATCCATCTATAAGAGAATGGATAAATAAGTTCTGGTACAACCATTGGACAGACACTATTCACCGATGACAGAGAATAAACTACTGATTCACGCAACAACATAGATGAACCTCATAAATGCTGTGCTAAGTGAAAGAAGGTTTACCTCAAAAGAGTACACTCTCCAAACTTCCATTCACTTAAATTTCTAAATCAAGCTAAATTCATTAACATACAATGAGAAATATCCCAAGAG